TTGACGCTGGAGGAAAAGTCCGCAGTGTCCGCCTCGCTCTTCAACGTCAATATGGTCAACACTCCGGCGCCAACATCGCTCAAAGTCTCCGAGGCTTGCTTACGAAGTTCAATATCATGGATAAGGTCGGCTACTTCGTCTGTGATAACGCGTCTAACAACGACACCTGCATCGAGTCTCTGCTGCCGCACTTGCCAGAGTGCTACGCCGACAAGCGCCAGATCAGACTCCGCTGTGCTGGCCATATCTTCAACCTTGTCGCCACTGCCATAATGTTCGGACATGATATAGAGGCTAGGGAAGAGCTATTTGACGAGTATGCCGGCGACGTCGATGCCGCCCTCCTTGAATGGCGCTCAAGGGGACCTGTTGGCAAGCTTCACAACGTGGTTAGATACATTCGCGCCTCGCCGCAGAGGATCGCCGAGTTTGAGCACTTGCAACACGTCATCGCGTCATCTAGTAACGGTGCTGAGCATTCGGTCAAAAGTCTTGTCTTAGACGTTGCTACACGCTGGAATAGCGTAAGCAGTATGATTGATCGTGCTATCCAGCTCCGACTAGCTATTGATAACTACTCGAGCAAAGTCATCGGTGAATGGCACCAGCATAAGAAAAAAGATCAACCGACGCCGTCGCTGGTTCACGACGCGTTAACGACGGATGACTGGTCGTACCTTGAAGAGTACCGTGAGATACTAACGCCTCTACAAGTTGCAACAGATACCCTCCAAGGACATGCCGGCGGCAACTTCGGCGCCATCTGGCTAGTACTGCCAACAATCGAGTCCCTTCTCGATATACTTGAGGAAAAGAAGCTAAAGTGCCAAGCCGAGATCAACTCTCAAGTCGCGTTGTCACAGCTAGAGCCAAGCTACGACGACAAGAACAAGTTCTGGAGCCATCTGGCTACGTCGGTGAATCGCGGATGGATCAAACTCGATGACTACTACACTCGTCTCGATGACACGCCGGTTTATGTCGCCGCCATGGTTCTCCATCCTTTTTTCAAGTGGGATTACTGCGAGACGCACTGGTCGAGTAAGAGTGACAAGGGCAGCTGGACTGAAGCCGCCAAAAAGAGCGTGGATCGGCTATGGCAGACGTACCGAAAGAGCAAGGCCGCGGCACAACCACGAGTGGATAACGCGATCGTGATCCAGCAGAAGCTGGAGTCCAACCTGTTCAACTTTTCAGCGATGAGGAGCTATCGGCATGTTGATCAGATGGCATCTTATTTGGCGGAGACTCCATCTAGTGATCTTGGCTTTCAGCAATCGCCAGTGTCCTACTGGCTAAGCAAGCGTACAACGTGGCCAGAGCTGTCAGCAATGGCACTAGACATCTTCGCCGTGCCAGCCATGTCCGACGAGCCAGAGCGATTGTTCAGTAACGCTGGAAACACGTTGTCACCGAGAAGACGTATGATGCAGGACGACACTACTGAATCACTGATGATTATGAAGTCTTGGCTTCAACAGGACGTCGTCAGCATCGCGAAAGACGAAATGCGGCGGCTTAACAGCATGACTTCAGCCGTATTGTCAATACCTCGATCTCCGTCTGTCGGTTGAAACCTCGAACGGCGACTGATCGCCACGTCACGCACGACACGTCGTCACGCCACTACCAACCTCCAGCGTCGCGCGGACGACGTCGCTACGACATCGTCATCCTCCGTGTCGGCCCGAACACTCGGTCCGAGAAACCACCCCTCGGAGAGCATTGAAATGCCCCGAAAACACCGGGTCAGACATCGGCACAAATGGTCCAGCTGTTATGGCTCTGGCCATCTTAGCTCAGCGGTAGAGCAAGGGGATCGTAGACTCCAAGGTCGCGAATTCAATTCTCGCAGGTGGCTGAACTTTTGGCCTTTTGGCTCAAGCCGAGTCAAGCAAGTCAAGCCATCCCCTCGGACCTCTCAAGCAAGTCAAGCCCACGGTTTTGAGGCCTCAAGTCAAGCCAAGTCCAGGCTCCAGACTTGCTTGACTTGCTTGTGGCCACCTCTGAACTCAGCGAAGCAGTCTGTGTGTTGTGTCCATGACTTGAACCCGCTGGCACATATGTGGCGTTGCCTGTCACGTTGGCATATAGTGCTTTGAAGCTGCGGATTTGGTCAGGAGACCACGCAGGCCTGACGGCCTTCTGCTCTCTGGGGATTGCTCTCGGATTGAGCCAATTGGTGTCCCCATCGCGTCGGCGTCGACGACGCGAATCTTCCTCAGCGCCAACATCCTCAGCGCATTCGATGCTGGGTCCGCCAGCCGACACAATGGCACGCTCGACGCAGCCAGCTTTCATAAAGAGAGGAAGCGTGAAATAAACATAAGGCCAATTCGAGTCTGTCTGACCGTGCCACTCCCAGGTGCTTATTGCGCCACAGCCTTTCTCTTGAGCTTCCAGTGCGGATCCGTCGCCCACCGGCCAATATTCCATGTTGAAGATCTCAAATGTGAATCCCCAAGCCGCATACCAGTAGACACATTCGACTTTGGGAGTCACAACGATGGTTGTCGTAGGCCCTGGAATGACCGTAGTACGTGTAGTCGTGCTGGGCTGTGGCTTTTTAAACTCGGTAAACTCCGATGCGTATTGATCAAATAAAGACGACAATACCGCGTCGTCTTCATATCCGTCTGGATAGTCGTCGTCTTGCATTCCCGCAGCTAGGAGAGTATGCATAGCTCCTTGGGACGACGTGCTACTTGTAGTCGAAGATTTGTTCTCATCAGGCTTCGTACGTGCTCCTTTCGGATTGGGAAATACTCCCGGTGGACAAGAGGGACAGTCCGGATCGCAAAAGTCAACACCTGTTCACCATGGTCAGTTCGAGCTGCCTGCGCCTGAAACGGCATTGCTAGCATTGGTACTCACATTCTTCGCCACATCCTGGACAGCCCGCAGTCGCTGTCGGACCGGGTTGCGGGCCGACGGTATAGGGTGTCGATCGCGAATTGAGTTTTGGATCGATCGATCCCGTTACAGTAGGATAAGGATTAGGTGTGATCCTTACTGTACCAGCGGGCAGGGTGGTCCCTCCATAGGTGGTCGTCCTGCCACCGAACGTTTCAGTCTGAGGTGTCGGAATGTAGGTCTGTGGCCCGTCTGATCCGCCGAACCAAATTGCAGCGATACCGCTTGATGTCGTAGTTTTGGTGGGTCCGATTATTGAAGTAGTACCGCCGAAAACTCTGCGAACGGACATCAGTATCTGAATTCCCGATGCAGCATATACGTTGTCTACTTACGGGGTGACAGTCACAACAAAAGGGGGTGGTTGGACAGAGCTTGCCAAAATGATGGAGCCTGTGGAGGCAGTGGGTATCGTCACAGCCCATATCGGGATAGCTGTCGTGGTCACTAAAGGATTGTAAGCCGTCGGGCACTGATGTTTAAGAAATCACTGTGGAACAGCATACCAGGTGGAATTGTCAGCACAGTAAGCCACGAGATGTGGTTATACCATGGATAAGACGAGACGGATCCATCGGGGAGGGAAGTAGTAAGCGTCGTGAGACTCGAATACGTCACAGAAGTCGTCAAGAGTGGGAAACTGATCGTCGTTGTGCTACCCAGAGGCATTGGAGGCCAGATGAGGGTTGCGCCTGTTGATGCCGTCACCATGGGATTCGATGATGCCCATATTCCGGGATCAATATAGATAATGTCGGATGAGGCGAGATCTGGACTGCCATCGCCGTCGAGTGACTGTAGATCAACCGCCCAGTCCGCCGTTCCGAGGAAATTCAAGGCAGGGTACAGTTTCATCCGACCTGCCTTGTTTGAAGCACTCATGTAGGAGACCCATTGGGTCTGGTCGTAAACGATGATGTCAGAAAAAGCCTTTGGATCCCAATATTGATGCACGGAAGGATTGCTCGACAATATGGAGTCAATTTCCCATTGCGCAATGTAACCGGCAGTGTTTGTGCAGAGGCCTTTTTCGGCGCCCGAATCAGGCCCGGTAAAGGTGCACTGCTCCGTCCAACAGCCCGCGTTAGCCATCTGGAAAGACCGGCCGTAGCTGCTGACCCCGACGACGATCATATTAGATGGAACGCCGGCCTTTGTGAGCATAGATAAGGCGTTGATCGTCTCTGTAAGGTTCACGTGAGATCGCAAGCAACTCCCACTCGGGCAACCCTCGTCAGACCACTTGTTACCGTAATCCCATTGTCCGTGTAGATCATACGTCATGTATACGATGTAGTCTGCAACAATACTGAGAGCTTGGATAGGAAAGCCCTTCAGGTACCAGAATGAGGCTGGTGCGGTGACAGAGATAGTCTTGCCTGAAGGAAGGGCATCTCGAAGGCCATCGACAAACAGGAGTAGGCCAATACTGTCGATTTTAGTGCCTGGCTGGATACCCGGGATGTCGGGCTCGTTGGGGTACTCCCAATCGATGTCAACTCCATCAAGACCGTATTGATGAACAAAATTCACAACGCTCGCGATTGCTGTAGCGCGGTTTGCGGGAGATTTGACAACATCACGAAAGATCTGATACGTCCCAAGATCGGTGGAGAATCCCCAGCCCCCGAAAGATATGATCTTTTTCACCCCGGTCATGCTCGCAAAAAGTGGCAGCTGAGCTGCGATAGCGTCCGTGTTCACAGACAGGTCTGGATTGAAAGTGGCGAAAGAGAAGTGGATATGAGTAAAGTAGGTAGTATCGAGTTGAGTAACAGGCATTCGGAGACATTTCCTAGCCCAATCATACGCTTCAAAATAGGCGATGTTGAACACGCTTGCAGGCGCTGGCGAAGTGACGATATCGGTGCCGCAATTTGAAATGCATCCGTTCTGTCCAGGAGCAGCGGTACCAGGAGCTTGGTTATCGGATTGCGAAATGGTACAGAATTCTGCGGTCGTTCCGCATTGCCCCCAGATGTCGCAGCAAGCGTTCAGCAAACAGCCATTCAGGGTCGAGAGATTAGTACCCGGCGGCGCTGCTGGGGTGCCAGGAACTTGCGGCCCACATACAGTGTTCGGAACAGGCAATGGCATGGGGATGTTGCCCTTACTAAGGCATATGTTGTAGCCCGCGAATAGCTTTGAGCATCCGGTCCAGCCCCAGGTCTTTGCGTTGAAAATCTCGATGGTCTGAGGCGTTAAAGAGTGCGCAGCAGCGATAGACGAGCAGGAGTCACCCGATACGACAACGTACGTGTAGCAAGTTCCGTTGGCATAAGGCTTTGGCGAGTAATCAGGGAGCGTTCCAGCACTGCAGCATACGTGCTGTCCGGCCCGCAGCGAAGAACACGTGCTACTGCCGGGGTTGTATTGCGTGAATTGTGCAGGTGTGATTCCACACTCTGACGCAAGAGAGGAACATGTGTCCCCGGACACCACTTGAATAGTGCGACAGTTAGCCCGAGGAGAGAGGAAATGAGAAGGCGTCAGAGGTAAGGTGCCGTTTGAAGGTGTCGTAGTTGAATTTCCGGTGATCCCAGAATCGGGGGATGATGACGCCACCATGTATCTCATGTCTGCGAAATCCAGAGAGCTTTGCCCTGATGAACTGATACATGTGCTATTCTGCCAAGATCCTAGCGCAGCCTGGACAGCACCTAGGTCAGTCCGAGTACTGATGTACAGTCCAAGCATGTAACGAGCAGTCGTCTCATTGCACAATTGGACAAACATGGTCTCGGTAAGAGAGGCTTTGTGCTGGATCTCCGCAGCTATCTTGGTCAAAAGCTCGGGCCCTAGATGTTGAGCGCTCAATCCTGCTCCAATGTATGCACCCGCTACTGTGAGTCCCGAAGAAGCGATGTCGATCGTCGCATTGCAGGACATCCCGCGTAGATCGAACGTCATTTGCAAGGACTGCAAGACTTGTAGAACATCACTGGCTGTGCCAGCGGCTGAAGACCCCGAGGTTTGCAATCGCAATGCTGAGGACTTGACGCTTTGCGTGATATGTTCTCGCTGACAGTTCGAGCTGCTTATCGTCGCTGATCTCTTGGTAGCTTCGCGGTCATCGGCGGTGCATGCTGCGATCTTCACTGGCGTCTTCGGGTCGTCGATCGGATTGACGAGCGCGAAGTCGAGCAGCATGGGTTGATTGCATTTTGCGGCAAAGGCAGTATCGTGGTAGACGAACCATTTGCTAGGATCGGAGCCGAGTAACTTGCAACTCTCGGGACATAGTCGCTCATTGACGCCGGGAAGTGATGAAGTCTGGTTGCCAGCGAGGAAAGCTTTCTTCACATCTGCCGCATGCGTATTAGACAATGGCGGCGCAGGAACCGTACTGATCGGATAGTCCTGAAAAAATCCACGCAGAGCAGCGGGAGCGTTCAACGGTGTCATTCTGATGGCGTGGGCGAGCTGCAAAGTGCAGACGGCCAGCCACAGGAATGTGAGTTTGTGCTTCGAAGCGGCCATTATTGCGATCGATGGGGACAGCAAGTAAAGCAAAGTACGAATCTGAAGATTATCGAGACTTCCGTATCCAAGTCTTGTACTGGGCAGAATCGAAGATACATTCGACTACGGAACGCACGATCTGTTCGCTCGATTCTTGTCCGCACTCGGCTGCGGCGCTTGATGGTGCGAATCCAACAAGAGTCGAGCAGACCTCAACAAGCGCTAGGGGGATCTGCGGTGGACCCTCACAGGACGATCAGGAATCCCGTGGGTGTTGTTGGCGATGTTGGTGATGTTGGTGAGGGGTACCTTAGCGACCAAGCCACATCACAGACCAGGTGGCGATCACGGTTTACGCGGCTTATCTCCTTACACCGAGTTCCGAGGGGACCAATGGCCCCCTCAACTGAAGACACATGCCTAGCATTGCGGCCGGAGTGTTCTTGAGCGTTTCGTTCTGGCGGTAGGATGGGTGGTTATAGGGTGTGACACAGCCTGCAGCTGCATGTTTAGCGTTCCCGCTAACGCGGGGAACCCCAACGCGGTCCATACCCCAACGCGGTCCAAGGCATCAAAGAGCATAGCATTCAACAATTGATTGCTCTACCAATTATTGTTGAAATACCTTCAAATTGAAAAACATGGTAGATCAATACTAACTCTTATGATACACAGGTTCTTGCGTTATGGTCTGGACGGCCACACTTGCTACACTTTCTAATACGCTTCACGGGCCTCGGCATCTCCTCCTGGATTTGTGCTTCTACCTCCTCTTGTTCAACAA